TTGTTCATTCTCATTACTTTTCCACCAAGAGAGGCCTTGCCACAGGGGCAAGTTTTTTCTTTCTTAGATTTCAAGTTTGAACTCTTAAGCATCCTGGTAATGAATGGACTTCTTGTGTCTTTATTTCTTAGTGTCCTTTCTCAGTCTTAACATGGTGGGGAAAGAATTCAGATGCAGAAACACACATGCAGAGATACATACATATAGACATAGATACATACACACATGGATGGATATATGTACACAAAGATACAAACATACACAGGTAAATATACACATGGATACATATACATGGACATACATCCATAGCTACACATAATCTGCGCTTAGGAAGCCTGCTTAGGTTAAAATATAAATAAGTTTTGTCTTTGGAATTAAAAAGATGGGGAGAGCCGAAACCGGTTTGGCTCAGTGGATAGAGCGTCGGCCTGCGGACTGAAAGGTCCCAGGTTCGATTCCGGTCAAGGGCATGTACCTGGGCTGCGGGCACATCCCCAGCAGGAGATGTGCAGGAGGCAGCTGATCGATGTTTCTCTCTCATCGATGTTTCTAACTCTCTATCTCTCTCCCTTCTTCTCTGTAAAAAATCAATAAAATATATTAGAAAAAAAAAAAGATGGGGAGAATCTCCCAAATGTGGGAAATATGGTATTTTCCATAAGTCTTATGTGAATATGAATAAGTTTCTCAAACTAGGTATTGAGGAATATTCCTGAGGTTCCTTTTAATTCTCAAGGACCATGAGACCAAGTAGAGGACAAGCGCACGTTATAATTTTAGAAAATTTCTCAGCTTGCTTTTATAAACGGGATCCACTAAACCTGTTTGTTTAATAGTAATGTAATAAAAGCCTCCTTAGCAGTGAAAAGACCAACCTGTACGAATACAGGATATTGAGGTTACTGTTGCAATAATTATTCTGTTCCATAAAATTTATTGAGCATTTGTGGAATCCCTGTAACACCCATTTCCCCAAGTGGCCATGAGCACTCCAACCACATGCTTCTAACTACAGTTTTGCCACTTGATAACCCATGATCTTGAACTTCTCAATTAGCTTTTAGGTGATTAGATAGCTTACACAAGAATCAACCAAGGAGTGCATAAATGTCAGGTGGAACAACATATTTCTCTCTCTCCCTCACCCCCCACTCCATCCCTTTCTCTCTAAAATCAATAATTAACAATTTTTTATTTTTTTAAATATTTTTATTGATTTCAGAGAGGAAGGGAGAGGGAGAGCGAGATAGAAACATCAATGATGAGAATCATTGATCAGCTGCCTCCTGCATACCCCCTACTGGGGATCGAGCCCACAACCCAGGCATGTGCCCCTGACCAGAATCGAACCCAGGACCCTTCAGTCCACAGGCTGACCCCTCTAACCACTGAGCCAAACCGGCTAGGGCAACAATTTTTTAAATAAGGAGAATATGCTAGAGATTCATCTGATACAATTCCAAAATATTAAGAACCGTAGTCATGAGGGCAGAATTGACAGATAATATTATCTGAATCCTTATTCATGGCAGACACTATGTGTACAGCTCTTCATTTTTTTTAATATATTTTATTGATTTTTTACAGAGAGGAAGGGAGAGGGATAGAGAATTAGAAATATCGATGAGAGAAAAACATTGATCAGCTGCCTCCTGAACACCCACTACTGGGGATGTGCCTGCAACCCCAATGTACATGCCCTTGGCCAGAATCGAACCTGGGACCCTTCAGTCCACAGGTCGACGCTCTGTCCACTGAGCCAAACCGGTTAGGGCAGCTCTTCATTTTTTATCTCATGTGCTCCTCACACCGTGCCACAAATGCTCTGCTAACCCTGCTTTCCAGATTAAAGAAAGCGAGGCCAACAGAGTGCAGGTAGGTGGCGGAGCAGAGTTGGACCTTGCTCACTGTCCCCTGGCAATTTGGCATGGAGCCCTTAACAACCGTGTTACTGGACGGCATTTCTAAGTGACAAAACTCAAACACATTATTTGGGGGGGGGCCCTCCGGGGGGGGAGATGGTGGAAGGAAATCATTGGTAGGCTTATGAATTCTAACATGTGCCCCCTCCCAAAAGTTGCGATCAACTTGTGTATTTACAACAGTTGAAGTCATTAAAATGATAGGCTCGGTGCTCATCATCCCAAGGGATCGCCAAACAACAGAACACAAACTTCCTTTATTCCCTGGCCGGATCAGAGCTGACTCTGCTTTAGGAAATTGCTGCCAATGAGCTCTGGGTCATCTATGAACCACCTAAAGTCACATGGATTTTTCTGGGATGAAAGTCCACAGCGTGGACGGTTTCTCAAAGGGCTCCAGGACCAGCATGCCAGAGACAGCCTGGGAAGTGCCGGTCTCAGGTTCCCCTGCCGTGGAAGTCTTTTCCTGGACATCTCTCCATCAGTCCCTGCCCTTCACAGCCATAGTTCTACAGAACTCATTCCCAAAGTGAATTCATCCCCGCGTCCAGCGGCTCCTGTGGGCCCCGCAGCCGGCATGAGACACTGCGAGTGTGTCCTTCACCGCTTCTGGTAATGAGTTGTGCTTTTAAGCAGCCTGACACAGCCAGGCCTCTCCTTCCTAAGCCGAACCCATTAGCATATACGACCCATTTACTGATAAATGCATGTGATTGGTTTCCAGCACGTCACTGTCTTATGGCTGCTGCTTGTCTTAGGGAGCGTGTGAAGTTTTATGCAGTTGTGTTTTTGTTCTCTTAATTGGAGCCTTAAATTCTAAGGAAGAAAATAATTAGTATTTAATTTAAAATCACTCATGGGTTGCCCTGACTGGTGTGGCTCAGTTGGCTGAGCATCGTCCCATGCACCAAAAGGTCTCCAGTTTGATACCTGGTCAGGGCACACACCCAGGTTGTGGGTTTGATCCCCATTCGGGTGGTTCCTCCTATAAAATATGGATAATATGGGTAACAACAGCACCCCAGAGGTTGGGCACCGCCTGGAGGCGACTGATTAATGTTTCTCTCTCTCTCCCTCTCCCTTCCTCTCTATCTAAAATCAATAAAAACAGTCTGACCACTGTAGCTCAGTAGTTGAGCATCGACCTATGAACCAGGAGGTCGTGGTTCAATTCCTGGGCAGGACAAATGCCCAGGTTTCAGGCTCTGCCCCCAGTGGGGTGCACGCAGGAGGCAGCCAATCCATGATTCTCTCTCATTGTTGTTATTTCTCTCTCTCTCTCTCTCCCCCTATCCTTTCTTCTCTAAAATCAATAAAAATATATTTTAAATAAATAAATAAAATAAAAATGTACTTTTAAAAATAATAAATAAACTAAAATCACTCCTGGGTTTTCAATCCTTTGGTGCATCAAAAGGGGAAAAGAGGAGTAAAAGAAAGAGGGGGGAAACCTAATAGATGAACCCGGGTAAAGACAACCAAGGCTCTTCTCTTGTCAGATGTAGGGAAAGACCTAGTCACGTTTTTTCTGAAGAGCAGGCCAGTCCGTTGTCTTTCTCAGGTGCTGTGGCCACGTCTAATGGACCAGAGGCCAGAGGCCCTTCGCGTGGCCGTGGACGGCCAATGGAAGGATCAGATTCCGGTATCTGAGTCCCAGCCTACAGTGTACTCATACGTGACCTTGGTTATTTTACTTAGTTTATGTAAGTTTGCATCATCTCTCCTGTAAAATAGGGATAACAGCAGTACTCAGTGCATCGGTGTGACAGCGTGCTTGATTGCAAGCAGGAAGAATCTACAGAGCACAGATGTGCACAGCTGGAGGGTCAGCGGGAGCACCCCCTCCCCCCATGCTCTGACGAGGGGGCAGTCAGTCTGTCTACAGTGCTGCTGGCAGGAGCACACAGCCCACTGCCCCGTCTCTGCCCTCTTGTCTCTTGCTCACACTCAGATAATCTAACATGAGTGCCCCCCTGCTGACCTGCCTGCTGGAGTCAGGGAGAGGGAAGCTGGGATCCCCGGAGGTTGGGCACTGCCTGGAGCCCCCCACATGAGGGAGAGTCACATGATGCTATGCACAAGGGCAACTCTCCCCCAAACAAGAAATAGCTATGACAACAGGAGGGTTGTGAAGAATCAACGACAGAACGCACAGAAAGCCTTTAGCAACCTACCAGAACACAGCAGATGGCCAAGACATGGCAGCTATTATTATTGCTATAATTGGCAATATTTTTTAAAAACAGGAATAATAAATTTATTATAAGAACCACAGAAGGTATAGTAGTGCACATACAAAAGAGGGAACCTCTGAACCAGAGGGCTGGCTGTTGCTTCATCAGGGAGCCCTCCGTCTCCAGAGTGGCTCTGAGGATACCAGGTCCAGAGGATGGCACCCTGACCCAAAAGTGAGGCCAGCTAGAACACATGGTGCCAGGGACCGGGTTCCCCCAGAATTCTCTGCTCCCCAGGACCCCCAGTTCTGAGCAGGCCCCAGGGCTTGAAGGGAACATGCTGCGAGGTGTGAGGTCCAGCTGGTAGTGGCGACTTGAAACTATCCACAGGCCAGACTTCCTTCCGAGACACACGGGTGCCCCTGGATGCAGGAGCCTCCCTACCGCAGGCCCCGTATGAACCCAACACTGAGCAGTGAATTCTGTGTGTCTTCAGGGTTTCCTACAGAAACGGGGGGCGTGTTTTCTGGCACACACACAAGGGCTGTAGCAGGGCCCTGGCTTCTCCCCGGAGACAGGGAGGACGGGGGCTCTGCAGGTGCCAAAGGGACAGCAGCTTGAGGAGCTCAGGCCCGGGGCGTGTCTGCCACTCCTACTACAGCGGACTCCAGAGCCCCTGTCCCATCCGGTACCTGTCCCGTCCGGTTCAAGTGTGGGGAACGCTTGGTAGGTCCCCAAGGCAGAAGATAAAAGCAGGAAAGCTAACCGAAGCCCAGGCTCTCTAGGGAACCCACACCTAGAAGGGTCCGACACAAGGTGTGTATCCTCTGTGGCCCCAACAAGGCTGCCAGCCGACCCGTGGTCCCTGGTGGGCTGGCAGCCCGAGATGCAGCCGTGGTGGTGGCTAGGTAGCTGAGAGGCAGGCCTGGTGGATGCTCTCCGCCCAGATGTGGAGCAGGGCTGTAACTGAGTGCTTATCGGGGAGCTTCAGCAGCTTCGAGGTCAGGTATTGGTACACCAACTGCAGGAAGGGGCTGGCGTCGTACTGCCACTGCCGGTCGATCCACAGCGGGCTCTGGGCGGGGTAGTCAGCGGGCACACTGAGCTCCAGGGGTGGCACGCTCGGGAGATCCTTGTCATTCAGCCTGCATATCAGGTGGACGGTGCCATTGTTGCTGCAGTGAGAAGGGTCCAAGTTCACCAGGAACCTGGAGTCTAATCTGGCCACCTCGCCCTGGAGCACGTTGGGGATGCTCTGCTGCTCATCCTCTTCAAGCTTCCGCTTCCGGGTGCACACCACCGGTGCCGTGATGGGTGGGCCATGGATGGCCGTCATGGCTGGCATGAACGTGTGGCGCAGGGAATGGTTGAAGAAGGGCGAGTGGATGTTGGCCAGGACGGCATCCAGGAGCGGCTGGCACAAGGACTGCTGCTTGGTTGGTGGTCCCGGGGGTGGTGGGGGCGTGGGCACCGCCATGTCATTCTCGAGGTTCTCCAGGGCGATCTCATACTTCTGCAGAGTTTCCAGAGGGCAGCGCTTGGAGGGGTCAGTCAGGATCTCCAGAAGGCTCTTCATCATACTCAGGTCCTTTTTTCTGTCTTCATTCTTGTCGATCTTGTTGATCATGCGGCGTAGGGGCTCGATGTACTTGGACAGCTGCGTCAGCTTGTCCAGGTACTGCTGCTCCTCGGCCAGACTGGAGCCCGCTGGGCTCATGACTGAGCTGGAGTTTACAGGGGTGTTTAAAGGTCCCGGGGAGGGAACACTGAAGTTCTGCAGAGTGTGCGCTGTCACTGGACTCTGGGAGGGCTGTGGTGAGGGGCTCAGCAGGAAGCTGCTGGGGGATGGGGCAGGGCCGGGGCTGACGTTGGAGTTGGGCTGCGGGGACGGCTGTGGGGGAGGGGACACCGACTGCTGTGGAGGAGGGGACATCGACTGCGGGGTCTGCACCTGCTGGCCCGGCGACGGCGAGGACAGCATGGTGAAGCTGTTCTGGCTGACCCTTGTCTTTCTTTGATGCCCTGCTTCTCAAATACTAATGTTGGGGTCCAGCCCCAGCAGGTCCAGGGGTTCCCAAAGGTGTGGACGGAGTCGGCAAAGAAGGAATGACACAGAGGCAACGTTCAGTTGATTATCGTAGCTAGGCTCTCCAGCCAGGTTCTGTGTCTTGGCAGTATTTTTAGCAGCTACCGCTCTGGCCACCAGGGATGATACAGGCAGATGATAAAAATAGACTCATTTTCGATGAGTTCGTGATGAGGGATCCTGGGGAGAGGGCGGAAGGAAGGATAGGCAGTGAGCAGAGAGGCCAACGCCTCTGAGGAGGGACAGCTAAGGATGCAAGGCCACTGGGGAACTACCCTTGACATCCCTGTCAGCCTGGACGCAGGACCATCGCCAGCAGAACTGCTGCTGTGGCCAGGGCCTCCCTTCGATTGTCCAGGTGTCCCTGCCCCACCAGCAGGCCCTACACAGGAGGTTCTTCCCTCTTGATGACCTGCCTCAAGTCTCAGGTAGAGGAAAGACAGACCTCGGTCCTCCTGTGGTTAATGCGCAGGCTCAAGCCTTGTCATTTAAAAGGGATACGGGTATCCTTGCGCATCGTTTGATTCAAAACGACAGCTGAAGTCTAAGTATTCGCCCAGTGTAACCGCAGAAAACGAGGCCTGACGTGGCCATTAAGTCTTTGCATCTCTCCTGCTGCAGACAGTGGGGATTTATTTGTTAAAGGGCAGAATTCTCACCACAAGTTCAAGGCATATTAGTCAGTGGCTGAGAGCTCAAATCAAAAGTGAAATCGGACCTTGGAAACTGTGGTCCCGAGACATTCAGATATTGCGGGAGACGAGCAGTGTCCTCTTAAAGGCGTGTGGTGTGTTACCTCTGGCGGTCCTCAGCTGACTTCGTTTTGTTTTGTTTTTTCCTAAGCTGACTCTGTAATGCCTGATCCTTCCTCCCAATCGAGGTGCATGATGGTTTGCAAATGATGAACCTGAGGCCTTGGAAGGCTCAGAAGGGCCACCCCAGTAAGAGAAATTAAAGAAACCAGAGTTGGTATTGGGTAAAATTTAGTGACATTAATAGAAAATTTAGTATTGGGTTTAAGGTTACGGTAATGTAGAGTACACCATTATTTAGAAACTAGAGGCCAGTGCAAGATTTTGAGGTTGTTTGTTACCCCAGCAGAACCTCACCTATACTGACTGAAGCAGGTTCTGACTTCTAGATTATAAACTCCCACAGCCACAAATAGGAGGGCAGGAACTATTACTGCCAGTAAGATGTCAGTGAGATGCTGTTTCCATGGCTACCACACTGCCGAAGCCACCGCTTCCTCAGCCCATGACGCTAAGAATAAACAGTGAACATGAGTTCGGCTGTTGCCAACATTTCACATACATTGGCAGCACAAAAAGCTCTGGGGTATGGGGAGGAATGGTCTTTGCACCCCTTCTACCTTAAAAATATCAAGATTATCTCCTTGCCAGAGCCTAAATTGCATCCAGAATCCTATTAACCAAAGGGCAGGAGAATGTGGTTTTTAGTCTTCAAGTCCCTGTGATGGAGGACACGGATGGGAAGATAGAAGGTGATGGAAACAGACACTAGGTACAAAACACAAGATCTAGCACAAATGCTCACAGTGTGCTCCACAGACCCTAAGCGTTGGGACCACTGGTGTGCCTACCACCAGAGGCCAAACACACATGGTCAGGATCTCAGCGGCCTGGGCATCTGCTTTTTGACAAGGGCCCTGGGCAATCCTCACGCACACTGAAACTGGAGATCTCTATATAAGAGAGAGAGAAAAGAGGTCCAAAGCAAAATGGCTCCTACGTGAGAATCACTTTAATATTTTAACACCCCCTAGAGGATTCGTGTTTCTCGTGTAGTGTGAATTCATATTAAACTGTGGATCATAAAAGTTAGCTATAGACCTCACAGACACTGAAACCCACAGAGAACACAGATCTCGGGAAACCTTTAATCCAGAAGCCCCACGGGTAGCCCGCAGATGTCTTCTTTTATGATACACTATGTATTCTTTTAACATTTGAGCTAATGTTTAAGATTTGGGAGATTTCATATAAAAACCCATACATCTGGTTTCTCTTGAACAATTAGAAGAGCTGACCATTTGGGGCCCACATTTCCAATTGCCACTAACCTCTCTGGGAGGCAGCGTCCCTGACCCCACCTCACCTCCAACACACACTCTCCAATTTGCTGCAGTCCCACCACTCCTGACTGCCTCCTAGGATTCCAGGCTGAGGGTCAATGTCCATTTGGCACCATGCTTGAAGTAGACCTTTCTACTGTAAAGAAAGATTTCTCTTAACTATATGTCGATCAAAAGTACAGAAACAAACTCAGACCAATAAGGCTGTGTGAGTGCTCAGACCTTCCCACTTCATTCATTTTCACTGCCTGCCTGGCCCCTGAGGACAGTCTGCCACTCTGGCCTTGGAGTGCTTGGTAGCATTTTTTGGTCCTGAGGCCAGTTTGCAGCATGTGATCTAAGGTCCAATTGAGGGGAGCCCCCACCTGGCCGCCTGTAGAATAGCACCCTGGAGAGGGGCTATTTTTATATTCTGGCATGGGGCGGGTGGGGCAGGGAGAGGATTCTCTATACAGGATACCACAGTTCTGTGTGCTGGAGGTAATTCGTTTGGCTCTAAAATTTGCAGTTAAATAAATGTTAATGAACAGCTGTTCCCAATAAACAGGATAAACTGAAATTAATAATTGCAGTATTCATTTAACAAATGAATTACCCACTTTCTAAATACGCGGACATAACATGTGTGATCTCCTGCCAAGCCAGGCCAGCCTAAAAAAATTAATTTAGTGGCAAAAAAGGGCAACCTGGGAGCTGTGCCACCCACTCGGAAGGAACCAAGAAAATGGATGATGGCTTTGCTTGCTTTTTCTTTAAAAAGTAAAAATAGCTGACTGACTATGATCCAAACACCGGGGAGAAGGGAGTAATTTCATTTTGCCAAAAGTGGAATAATGTTGTGCAAGTGTTTCCCAGGTGTTTCCATGACGACACACTCAGCCTGCCCACCATCATGGCTTTTATTTAGGCTACTATTTGCACATGGATCTTTAAAGAACCCGGCTGCATAGAGCAGTGATGGTGAACCTTTTGAGCTCAGCGTGTCAGCATTTTGGAAAACCCTAACTTAACTCTGGTGCCGTGTCACATATAGAAATTTTTTAATATTTGCAACCATAGTAAAACAAAGACTAATATTTTTTATATGTATTTTACATATTTAAATGCCATTTAACGAAGAAAATTCAACCCAAAAAAATGAGTTTGCGTGTCACCTCTGACACGCGTGTCATGGGTTCGCCATCACTGGCATAGAGTCTCAGATAGGAAAGTGCTAGAAACATTGAGTTCTCGGGCAGTGGTAGGGCATGAGCTTTGGAGGCATTCACCATTCACACAACCTCCTTTATGGTGCCAGACCCTGTTCCTGGCAGGGATGCCACCGTGAACAAGGGCTCTGCCGGTGGGCCCAACGCACCACAAACACATGCATGAAAGGAGAGGTAAAGAGAGAGAAACATCAATGATGAGAGGGAATCATTGATCGGCTGCCTCCTGCACGCCCCCCACTGGGGATCGAGCCCACAAACCAGAGCATGTGCCCTTGACCAGAATCGAACCTGGGACCCTCCAGTCCACAGGCTGATGCTCTATCCACTGAGCCAAACCAGCTAGGGCTGATTTCATTTTTAAAAGATAACTCTGGGTCCCCAGAGGGACAAAGGCAGGAGGCGGTGAGTCAGGAGGCTCTTGCAGATGGTGGCTTCAACTAGGGTTCTCCAGGCCTTGCCCCAGGCCACCTCTGCTCATGCCAAGGGATCCCCCCACCACGGGCATCCCTGTGGCACACTGTGTTCATTACAAAATACAAGGTCATTACTGACAGGTGCTATAGCAAGGACTGGGAGCCAGGCCTCGAAGGCAATGACTAGGCTGCACATAAGAACTTGTAGCCCCTCTCCATTCACTCTTTGATCTCTGCCCCTTCTCCCAATCCACACATCTCGTTATCAAAGTGCTTTGCATATGGAGAGACTCAACAATGGTTTGTGTTTAAAATGTTAAACGACCATAGGCATATGCAATATTTCAGGATGGATAACAGACTTAGCCTGGTCTGAATCCCAGCCCTACCATTTCCTACCTGTGCAGCCCTGGCCAATTTACTTCACCTCATTCCTGTGTCCGTTTCTCCATTTTTTAAGTGAGAGGATAGTGCCTAGCTATCGAGAAAGTCAACAAGAACACAGGGAAAGATCTGCAGACGTGAGCATGTCAAGCATATAGTAAGTGCTCAATAAATGTTCACTCTCAGTATTGGCCCTCAGTACACAAAGGTCTTCTCTGTGATTAACACAAATCCTGTTCCCCTGGTGACCAAGATGTGGATGTAAAATAGACGGTTACATTCAAAACTAGAAGCAAGGTTTGTGGTAAAATTACTTAATAGACAGGAAGTTGGAAGTATTGGGCCAGGAGGTGACCTTGACGGTGGAGAGAATGGCACACTGGTGCCTGGATCCCTGATGACACCATGGAGCCACCAGGCCAGCCCTGGACTGTTTGCATCCGGGACTGTTTCCTTAAGTGAGAAAGAAGCTTCTGCTTTATTTCAGCTATTTTTATTTGAGGCTTTCCTACCTATGCGGCCAGACATAATCCTAAGTCACACTGTAGGAAAACCCAGCAGTCTGCAAAGATACACACTGCACTACTTTCTGCAATCATCTCTGGGGAAAGCGCAGGGGGGGGTGCAATTACAGAGAGAAGTCCAAGGAAAATGAGCTTTTTCATATTTAATGTTTTAGAATTCATTCCTGTATTTGTACAAATCTAAAAATTGATTTTAAAACAAAGGGGAACACCCATGCTAAATTACAGAGGGAGAGGGTCCGGAGAAGCGGCTGGTGGGGCTCAGGGCCTCAGGGGCCACGGAGCTGCTTTCCCCACGTCAGGGCTGGGCCGTGTCAGTGGTCACCTCCCCGGGGGGCTCTTACTCAGACTGTCAGCCGGGCACCCCCTCCAGAGAAACTTCACCTGTGGGCTGGCCACCACGCACCACCAGCAGGCCATAAGCCTGGCTCTGTCCCCAGTAAAGGACCCCGGCTGAGACCGTTGCAGGGCTCAGAAGGGAGAGCGGGTTCAAGCACTGGCCCTGACAGGGAACTGGTTTCTCTTTCGTGATCACTGCCCCGAGTCAGGAGGGAGAGGTCAGGGTGTGACCGATGACGCTGTGAGGTGCGAGTGACGCCAGACCGTTCATCCTGCGCCGGCCAAGGGCCCAGGACTAACGTGTTCTGCTGGTCATAGGTATCCCCTCAGACAGCAGGCATGGGAAGCGAATCAGCCAGGTGTCAGTGGATAGGGGCATGTCCCTGAGATTTTAAGTCCATATTCAACTCATATGCACCGACTTCAGATTACTTGCAAGAAACCCCAGATGAGTCAACTATGGGGGAACATGGAGAGCGGCCTTTCCTGTTTTCAACACGTCCGTCCTCACCGGTTCCCGGATCTGGCAAACCCCCAGGCCTCAGTAGCCC